TGCCCATGGCAGGGGGGTTGGAACTAGATGATCTTGAAGTCCTTTCCAACCCTAACTATTCTGTGATTCTATGATTCTATGAAATGAGGTCAGGAAGAGATGGGATCATCTTACGATTACATCTGTGTCACAGAGCACCTCCAGGAAAGGTGCACTGTCATTAAAGTCAGCTCTCAGCAGCTGGGACAAAGTTCTGCCACAGTAGGGCCTTCCCACCACATCCATGCATCAGGCACTGTGCAGTGCACAGCTCCATACCTGCTGGAAATCCCAGCCCTTGCTCCCAGGAGCGCTGGTGAGGGCACCAGCGCTGCCAGCTGAAGGCATCTGGACAAGGCTGGAGCTCTGCCCAGAGCTGCTGCCTCCATGGGCAAGAGAGGAAGGACTGTCCTGTGTGGGCAATGCAGGCTGTAAGCACCCGGAGTCAGGGGAACCTTCATCACCTCCAACCACCAGTGCTGGACACATGGCCTGGTTCCCGTGGCTCCAAGCCCCAGCGTGCCCTTGTACCAGCCCCAGATGGGCCCTGGCACTGGCAGTTTCTGGGGTGGTGCCTCAAGCAAACCCAGATGAAAACTAAGCTCCAGCTCACATATGGCACTCCCAAAAGAGCTGCTTGAAAGTGACCTCCAAAACACAGGGAGGCTCAGGAGCCCCATCTTCATCACCAGCTCCTTCTCTCTACAGACAGCTCCTGCTCTGTACAACTTGCTAACATGGACCTTCACAGAACCTGCATACCCAAAATCACAGTCAGAATTCAGATCAACACTGAGACACATTTTAAAGGGCTGTTTTCCCGTGTCGGACCACTGCAGATGTGAGCTCTACCATCTAAACAAGAACAGAGTGGGCAGCCACAGCAACAGGCAGCTCAGCTCCCCAGAAGAGAGAATTTGCATCAGCAGGCAAGGCCGCTGAGGCCCCTGGCTGCTGCCCTGGATGCAGGTCAGGTAGGGACCACTGTGCTGTGCTATCAAAGCTGCTGCAAGTGTTATAAAGGCAGCTGTTGCTATGAAGGGGCCAGCAGGAGATGATAACTCCAACCATGTATGAAGGTTTGATACATGTGCACAGATGTGAGTACGAGTTGATTGTTCACCTGCACTCTCGCTGCTGGTACACTCTTAATAGCTATGTGATACTTTAGGGCTGGGTGTCATTCTCCTGCTTCCTAAGGACCTACTAGGGCATTGACTGGAATGTTTTATGTCAAACCAAGACTAAAAAATTCATAAATTCCTTTTCTTCCCCAAAGGGATTTTCCTGTTTCTCAGTTCTAACTAAAACCAAAATTAACCTATTGAAAATTTCCATTAAAACAATTTGAGAAATGCTGCTACTTCTGCATTTCCATGTTCCCAGTTTGCAACACGGCCGGTAATCAGTAAACTGGACGAGCCTGTCAGTGAACGGGTGGTGCATTTTCATGCCATTCTTCCAGGCAGCACAAGCCCACAGCCTCTGCAACTCCCTCACAGCCTTCTGCCTCCTCCTCCTCCTCCTCCTCCTCTGCCACCTTGCAGGCTCCCACCCATTCACGGTTAAACATGGAGGGGGTGCAGAGTCTCACACCATAGAGATGGAGGTGTTTTCTCTCCAGATATGAAGAGCCAAAGTCACATCCCTGCGTGGTAATGGGCTGCAGAGGACATGAGGGAAACTGAGGGCAAGAAGAGTGTCCAGCCCTCTGTGGAAAGGACACTAACAAAGCGTGAATTTTGCAGACACAAAGAGGAACAGGAGCCCTGAACGCTGAACTCCTCACAGTGACAAATGGCAGCCCATGGGGAGAAACACAAAACCTTCCAGCCCTGCGCACTCCTCCTGCCCTCCCCAGCCACATGCAGGGATCCATCTCCAGCGGTTCACTGCAGCTTGGTGAGGGTGGACTCTCACACCCACATGTAGCCCCTGGGCTGTCTGTAGGAGGCCAGCTGGATGAAAACTGCATGGAAATCCCCAAATGTGTCTCATGAGGGGTGGAAAGACAATTACAGCAAGTGACAAACCCTCATGTGCCTGGGAGCTCACAGCACCTTCTACGAGAGCTGACAAAATCCTCCCAGCTCACAGCCCAGCTCCTCACTGGCAGCTGCCAGTCCCCACTATGTGGAGCGGGCAGCCCCTCTCCACGACTCGGGCAGCCTCAGCACCGACTGCTCCTGCACCCTACCAGTGAGCCGCCAGCCAAGGTGCTCTGCTCACCTTCCATGGGGGCAGCATTCTGCCCGTGCCCTGCCGGGCTTGCACAGGGACCCCTGTGCCCATGCCCAGAGTGCTCCTGGGACTCACCGTCACCGGTAACTGTCTGTCCGAGGTGCTCAGTGACTCGTTGACAGAGCAGTGGATGACTTTGTCTGAAACAATCTGGATCTCACATGAGATAAGGCCGATCTTCACTTGGTACTCATTGCTTTCCAGGCCCAGGCTGTCAGGCTCTTTCTAATGACATAAACAGAACCAGGATGTCAGTCTTTAGAGCAGCAGTCACAATTGCAATGGATTTTCCTTCCTCACTGTCTGTATTCCCTGCTGTTTTTCAGACCTGGGAAGACTCTCCATCACCAAGGATATTTTTCCAGCCCTCCACAGGAAACCCAGAACTGGGCCATTCCCCATTTTCCTGTTTCCCATTCCTCACTCAGCATGAGGCACAGGACGAGCGAGCCCCTCACGGAACGTGTTAAAATCTGCTTTTGATCTGCTCTGCTGTGCACCGAAGATAAGGATCTAAGCGCCCACCTGGGAGAGGGGAAGGATGTTCAGAGGAGATAGCCAGGGGATGTGTCTGCAGAGCCTGAGAACGGGGGAGTGAGTTTCTGAAGCACGTTGCAAGCAGTGAGGATATCCTGCAGTGAACAATGGCCTTTGAATTACTGTTGCGCATTGTCCAAGCCACTCAATTGCTGTACCCTGACTTCCTTGTTAACTGAGCTGAATTCAGTAGCCAAAAGAGAATGATCTGTTTCTGCAAGAATAAATACCTATTGTCGGGACCTTCTGGAGCACCTGCCTGATTTCAGGCCAGTGCATTATCATTCTCTTTCATACATCCAGTATTTTATTTAGCTTCTAGCTACTACATCCTCCAAAGGCAGCGCTCTGCCTCCATGCCTCAAAGGGCATCCTCAGGTCAGGCTGCATCTCCTTGTGAAGAGATGCAGGTGCAGTGGACTGAGCAAGAACCACTGGCTCCTGCATCATTCCTGCCTCTCCCATCCTCATCCATCCCCTATCTCGCTCCTGCCTGTGCGGACAGTCACAGTGCTGGTACTTGGAACTGAAGAGCTTCCCAGTGGGGAGCATGCAACACTGCGAAAGAAGTAGAACTGTCAATGCCACGCTCGTACATGTATAACCAGGGTTAAGGGCTCGCCAGGATGGTGCTTGATCCACTTCTCCTTCTTGGCTGTGAAGAACTGAGGGTCAGCATAGTACTCCAGGCTGAACTTGCTGATGTGCAAGGCCTCCTCGGGGTACATCTCCTCATCCAGAGCTGGACGATCATCTGTGTAGAGGCGACCATTGAGATAAAAATTGACAGGTGCGGGCTTGCTCCCCACAGTGATGTTGGAGGCAGCAGGAGAGGGGCAGGTGATGATGGTGTCGGTGTGAACCTTGCAGCTCTGACAGCAAGAGAGAGCACACACGTCAAACCCCAACATCCCGAGTGCTCCCACCTAGCCCTGCTCTCAGCCCGGTCTGTAGCAGGTGCTAAGGCCTCAGCTTCACACCCCAGTTACTGGGCAGTACCCAGCGGGGACACCCACCGTTGGCTCTCTGCCAATGCCTCGGACCACCATGGACACGTTCTGGATCAGTTCAAAGCCTCTTCCTTCCAGGGTGATGATCCTGCCCCCACTTTGAGGAGAAGGGAAGAAAGAGAGGGTCACTGCAGAGGACAACCCAGCAGCAAGGTGCACTGGCTCAGTCTCCCTGCTGTCATTTTCCCAGGGATGTTTCCCAGCTGCTTAAACAGAAAAAGCAACCCAGCAGCCAAAGTCTTCTTCCTACTCTCAGCAAGCATCCACACTGCTACCAAGACATCAGGGAAGGAAGGAGCAGTGGCTGCTGTGGTGGAAAGCGGGGACCTCTTCCAGCAGCAGAAAGCTGGCCCCTCACTCCCACTCCCCAGAGAAGCAGCCTGCCTCTGCCTGCAGGGGTACACAGAAGGCTGCCCAGGCCTCCAACGGCGTAAGAGGTTAATCTCTAACCCCTCAAAGCAAGGGCCAGGAGATACTCCCTCACGGTCCCCACAGCGATCTGCAGAGAACTGTAAATCCTGGAGAGGGAAGAGCCCCCTTTAAGGTTGACAGGGACCATGCATCTCCCAGACACTTCTGATTTAGATCAAAACGTGAAAGTTGTTTTGTGTTTTGGATCTGCTGCCTGGGGAATGTGAAACACGGGCCTCTCAATATGCAGTCAATTAACGACAGTGATGAGAGGACCCTGATGCTCTGGTAGGCAGGGTAAGGGGTGGAGAACTGGCACTGTGTGTCTCCTCTGGACAGCAGAAACTACAACCTGGATTTACCTTCCCCTTCCTCTGTATCACATCTGACCTGTTCAGAGCATCTGTCAGGGAACAGTCAGGACTTATAAATGCTATTATCTGAAGACCACTCCAGACACAGTGACTTTGGGCCCAAGGTTCTCTTAAATCTGTGGGTATTACTATGCAAATTATGATCCAAGTTTCTAATTAAGAGCCTGTCACATCTGCAGACTAGTTTACAACTTCTGTTCTGTTTTAAACTTTGCTTACACAGATTATTTTAGCAGCATGGTAAGAGAAATCAAATCTAGCTAAATTTTTGCACAAGTTAATGACCCCTCATGCTCACCAGCCCAGCAAGGCACCAGAGCAGTTGGGCTACACGAGCCACCACGTAGTCTGATGAGAGAGACTGCTGTCATGTTCCCAGTGGAATGAAATTTTGCTGTAAATACTAAGAAAGCAGAGCAAGGTGACAGAGAAATACCCTGGTGGTTTCCTTTGTGAATGTGGACAGTGACATTCTTCCACTGTCTCTGTGTTCAGATACTGCTCCCGCCACTCAGCACAGTTCGCAAGCCTGCGAGGACCTGAGGGGGGCTGAGTCACTGCTGTGCCTTGTCATTAACTTTCCCACAGCCCATATCTTTGGCGCTGCACTTGGGAACGCCGAGACGCGGCTCTGCTCCAAGGGGATCAGACCATCAGAGCCCTGAGCACACTGCTTTTGCCATGGTCCTGCAGGCACAGGCACTGGACTCTTGAGTTTCTTGGTCAGCCCTGGGTTTCCCAGACTGCACAGTCAAGGAAGGTGGGATTTCACCACAGTACCCAAAGGAACAGGAGCCTGAGAGCTCCACAGAGAGACATGAAATTAAAAGCAGCACGCTTTAAAAATGAAATACCATGAGTGGGGAAAGCTGAAATCCAAAATTACAAACCTCAGCTCATCCTCCAACAGTTTTGCTGCCAAGAAAAATCCTCAGGGTCTCATACAGCCCCACCTGAAACCCCCTAAAGCACCCACCAGGTTTACACAGTGCAGTTACCATGTCCTAAATGCACTGAAATGAGCTATGGACAGTCCTGGTATGTGAGGTCTCTTCTGCTCCTGCTGCGGCACACCGAAGCACCCAGAGAGCACTCTGTGGTGCCCTTTTGTACCTGTCTGCAAAGTGAAGACAGGTACAGGGGCTGAGAAAGCCCCTTTCTGCCTACAAGACCCTCTCCTGCCAGCCTGGAGCTGACCCTCTCTTTTGCAGGTAGATGCAGATATGTGGCAGCTCTGAAATGGAAGTCATGATGCTACAACAGTTTGGCACAGGGCCCCGGTACCATACCCTGCCTCCTGGTTGTGTTTCAGGGTCTCCTGACATGGGGTTTGCTCAGGATCTCCTCTGCATCTGGATGGCTTGAAGCGCAGGCAGGGCGAGCCTGCACTGCCTGCACCAGCCTACACCAGAGCACTCCAGTTAGCTCCGGGCTTTGACGGGAGAGCACTGTTCACTTTTCAGTCAGCAAAACTTAAGGGGCTGATCTCAATAAAGGTCACAAAGGAAAAGCTCAAATCCCGGCAGCTCAACTGTCTGCTGAGGGAGGCACCTCACCTGATCTGGCTCTTCTTGGGGTTGATGTCTGATATCATCGGGTTCTTCTCATACTTGAAGGTGATGTTGTAGCTGGCACAAGACTTGTTCTCGAACTGAACGCAGACTCGCACGGCCGTGGTGAGCTCTGCGGAGGGCATGGTGCAGGTGATGGTGCTGGCGTTACGGCTGTGTGGGGAAAGCCAGGTAAGCTGCAGGGAGCCAGGGCAGGAAGAGCGCCAGAGTCCGGCCCCATGGACCTGAGCACCCTCTCGGGAACAAGGCAGATGGCAGACACAGGCAAAAAGGAGTTCCCAGTCACATGCCAATCCCCTGTTAACTACATTGCCTACCAACAAGCAATCTCAGCCTTTATCACCCCAGGCTGCCAGACTGAGTGCCCATCCAGCCAAAGTGAAAGAGCACTCTCCTAATTCTACCCACTGACAAGAGAGGAACATACAGGAGGAGAGGTTTCTTCACTGCTCCAGGGACACCAGACTGATGGGTGCTGGAAATGGAGGTGGCAGCCAAGTGGGCTGGTGGGGATGCTGCACTGGCTCCAAGGCTTAGCAGCAGCATGCAGTGGTGCCCCCGCGCTCCCACTGAACCCCAGCTCTTCCTGACCTCCTGGGGGACAATGCCACCCTTCCTAACACTTTGGCTCTTGTCACTAGATTAGTGCCAGCCCCCAGACCTGGTCCCACCTGAGGTCAGTGCACTGCCTGGAGGTATTGACGAGGACACGGAGCTCGGAGCCGACATCCAGCCTGCTGCCTCTGATGGTCACTCTGGTTCCTCCTGCCTTCGGGCCGTTCAGGGGAGCTATTGACTGCACCACGGGAAGCTAAAAACAAAGGGAACATCTGATTTCTAGCCTGGCATATTCACAGCTGGATACTCCACACTGCACATGGAAATTGCTTCAGTAAATTTAAGTATCCAGTACTGTCAGACTCTAATATAGCAGCACAGCAAAAGTTTTAGCTGGCAGGGTTTCAGCAGAAGGGGAGAAGTACAAGTGCTCTGGAGTAAGATCATGTAAAACCTCTGCGACTCTCCGTGGTCCCTAAATTCTGGCAATAAATGAGACATGAGTCCAACTGGACCCCAGATCCTACCAGTCCCTCGAGATTTCCAATGGAAGGTTCAGAGATAGCGACAGCTCAGGAAAAGGAAATTTCTCACTCATTCTAGCTCCCACCATCTCTGCCTTTCCAGATCCATTTCTTCCTGAATATGAAGATAATGCTAAAGCCCCACTGGATGATGGCCTTGAGATCTGTGAAAACAGCCACCTGGGTCTAGATAATTGAATATCAAACTCCTCCTTAAGGAAGCTTCAAATCTGAATCTCTTGAGGTGACAGGAAGTTACTTTGCCTCTTGCCATTTTCAGCAGAAATTAGCATGCGTGTTATCTGCATTTGCAGCCCCTGCAAATCTTCCTGAGATTCAGGAGCTGGAGGCTTTGATAACTAATGCAGTGCTAAGCCCTTGCGTCGGCTACGCTGCGCGCGCCAGGAGAGTCTGCTGGGCAACTGCCCTGCTCCGGTGCGAGCAGGACACTGAGGGCAGAGAAAATAGTTATGTCAAGGCCCTTCCATAAGGCAGTTGGTAATTCCCTGTTGAACAGCGCAAGGCACAGGCTGGGGCTGGCTGGAGCTGCTCCCCTCCTCCCCAGTGCAGCCACCGAGCAAAACCGCAGCAGTGGACTGAGGAGGGATAAGCTGCTCCACTCCGCCTGGTGCAGATGCCCTTTCCTGTCAATCCAGCCACAAACATCCTTATTAATAGATACCCTTGCCCTTGTCCTACACTTAGACCGCTCTACTCCTCTACAGACATTTCCTCTGTTGTTTCTCATCATTACCCATTTCCACAGGATTCATTTTGTTAATTTGTATTTCTGAGTGTCTGCAGGCAGCTGTCTCCTGCCCTTGGCCCCTAACCCATGTATTCAAATGTGCACTTACAACATCAGCAGAGAGGATTATTCACGTTCCCCAAAGCCCCTCATCTCTTCCCTTTGGCAAGAGCCAGGACTGAGCACTGAGCACTGCCACTGACTCTCTGAGCACTGCCAGCACCAATTGCTTCCAGCGCCACTTCGGCAAATTCAGCTCATCCATAGCCTGCTATAATGTCCTGGAAAGGTCTGTTGATCACGTTTCCCCCCTCCTCCTCAGCAGAATTACAGCTGAATTCTGTCTTCTAGATACATCTAGTGGGGACCTTGAAAGCTATAGCACACAAGCAATATTTGGCATTTTACAAAGGGCCTTCTTTGGAAGGGCAGTTCTAAAAGTCTTTTAAATCACTTAAATTGCTATCAGTGCTCAAGCTCAGGTCTCAGTGAGACCAGCCCTGCATGGCATAGTCTACTCCATCTTTATGCCATCACATGTGAGAGGAGAATCGAGAGAACTAAAGAGTGATTCTTAGTTTGTAAAGGGGGTGGGAGACACTTTTGGTGTGGAACACATCACCAGCTACGCATTGTGCATTTTCACTCCCAACACATGTGTGCACAAAGCAGGGCACTCTCCCACCTCTTCTCCAAGCTTTGCTGAGATACACAGGCAAAAGACAGCTTCGTGCTGTGCCATCCCAGCAGAAAACGGCTCCTCACTCCCGGGAGGACAGCTTCTCCTTCAGCCTGGCAGGAGCTGCCAGCACAGAGCTATCACAGACTCGGTTTCAGTTCAGGAACTGGCTTTTGCTCCTGTTGCTTTGCTTGTCGCTGCTCTTTCTACAGGTGCTTCCTGAGAGGGCTTTTCCTTGCATGCGGAAAGCTGGTGAAGGAGTGTCCAGCCCCTTACCACTCTTGGAGCCTTTCCTCTCTTTATCAACCAGACAATCGCCCAGCAATGAGTGATGTGCCCAGTCAGCACACACCCTTGTGACAACCCACCAGAGACCCCAAACCCAAGGTCTGTCACCAGGCTGTACCCCACGGCACCTTGCTCCAGACTGCTGGATCACCGAGACATTTTGGATGTGAATATGGATGCCTGGAAACAACCGCAATAGGTCCCTGAGCCAACGTCCTCCTGGGAGCTCCAGCTGAGCAGGGCCTGGTGGTGCCCTCCCGGCTCTGCCATGGTGCTGGGCTGTGCTCTGGAGCCTGCGCTGGCTGCACGCTCTGCAAACCTCCCTCACACCAGGATCCGTTACAGGGTGGGGGATTACACTGCATGATCCTGCCCTAAGATCCTCACTATGTCCAGCAGTAATCAAATGTCATTTCCTGGTGCTCGAGCCTTCTTTCAATCCATCAGACTGCAACAGGGTCTTTTCTTCCCCAGCTAAATCAACAGCAGAAGCACAAAGGCTCCAAGTAACGAGCATGCCCTCAGCACCCAGCCTGTGGCGTTCACCCTGGATGCATGGGGCTGCCCGTCAATAGTGTCTAGCCAGAGAGGAAGGAGGGAAGAGAGGAAATGCATTGATTTCTTTGAGGTTTATAGAGATGAAAGTTATCTTTGTGAGATGGTACAAGTACAAAGCTATAAAGGGCTTTTCTTTGTATAATGACATGGGGTTAGCTCAAATCTACTCCCTACATATTTTTCACATGCAAAAAATAAGACAATCTCTACAGCAAAATATATCAGTTCTAAATAGCATGAGTCCATGTGTGAGTCCATGGTATGTAACTTCCACAGCACAAAGAGACTTACCAAGCCTCAAATAATCTCACAGGTTGTAATGGCACTTTAACAAAGGACAAGGAAGAAAAATTAGCTCCTTTTGATAGCAGGAGACATGGTGATACAACCAGGATGAGGGAGAAACCTCTGCAGGAACCGAGACGGGGTCGAGGCTGTGCCTGACGACACCCTGGCTTCAGTCCTGCCTGGATGTGCCAGACCTCGCCCAGGTAACCTTGGGTGAGGAGACGCATCTGCTGCTCCTCAAGGACCCCGACATGTTTGTCTTAGATCCTCCTTCAAAGCCAGCTGGGGGTGCAGGGCTGTGGGCTTGTTTTGTGGGGTGCAGGAATCACCAAAGAAACATCCGGGAGGCAGCTACTCACCACGTAGGAGTATCGCTCCCTGGACTTCCCTTCCCGGCTCACATTCACTGTCACCACATCCGAAAACGCCTCCTGTGCCTCTCCAGTCTAAAACTCCAGTCTGGCACACGATCCTGTGGATCAGGAAGGGGAGGCTGGCAGTGCTGCTGGTGGCACAGGGGCAGCCCCATGGCACCGAGCCTGGCAGAGGGCACCGCATCCCACCCGGGGCAGGTTCCCATCCCGATCCTGCCCAGGGTGCAGCGCCCGGGCAGGAACAGGATGAGTGATGGGGCTGGGCAGCACCAGTAGGGGACACGAAGGGGACAGGGCCCCCCC